AGAAGCTCTTATGACCAACATTTACAAAGATTAAACAATGCCAACGTGTAAACAACCAACAGACTTACATTTACGTGCCGCTTTACAGCATCAGTCCTCTGTAGCCGTTGGTCTTCTGGGATTCCAATTTCCTCCCATATATCCCGAAGACGGGTTAATGCAGAGTTCAAGCATGCTACAGACTCTGCAGCAATTGCCTCACTAAGTAAAAGAGAAAAGATGGGGGGAGATAAGTATTTGGGAAGCTAAAATGTAATATAAAAAACGCCATTTGCAAATATGTATAAAATCCCTTTTTCCAGACATTTTAATGAATCCATAAAAACAAAAACACGATTTTGTACTTACAGTAAAATCAGTTTCTTGGTTTTCATTAGAGTGTATTTTATCCCAAAAATTAAAAAAACAAAATCACATACCAGTTACTAATTGCAGCCTGTAACCTTTTCATTTTGTGGCCCAATGCTACCAATTATACCTGATATTCCTGCCAGTTCTTGTTGGTTCCCACTTCAAACTGACCACGCCAAGCACAGAAGAGGACGTATGCTGGCGTGGTCAATTTGTGCCCGAGATCCCTGCTAGGACATACAGAATGCCACGCCTATGTACAGCATACCTGTTTTCCCTTTGTTTTTTTTCAAGCCCCTGGCCCAGCCCTGCTGACAGGAGATACTGTATGGAATGCATTCCCCTGCATCTCCCCTTGTCAGTATTCATTGCTGCCATTCCCCCTGTAAGCCCTATTGTGTTGATGCTAGTAGTACCCCCCTGTCAAAACTGCAATGCACACAGGCTGGGAACATACTTACCTGCTATGTGTAACCCACCTGCACACTCATCATACACTCCCCTCAAATAGGCAGTTGGGAAGTAGCTGGAGTTAGTTTGTGTGAAGTAAAGGAGAGTGGCTGCCAGGATCTGAAGAGTTTAATCAGCCAGTAGAAGACTGGAGGAGGAAGGCTGCAGGCTCCCCAGACTGTCAGCTGAAGTCAGTGAATAACTGTGGTGGAGGAAGGCAGCTTACAGGACTTGGAGAGGAACTGGCTAGCAGGAGATCAGAGAATTGGAAGGGGGGGGGGGGGGTTTAATATATATCTCATACCCATAAATTGACCAGTCAAAATCATATATAAACTAAAAATGACAAAACCATGTTACTATTTATAGATTCAAAAAATACCATTTGTAACAAAAATTCTAGGACGTGACGTCACCACGCACATCGGGAACGCTTGTGGCATAGTGACACAGCCGGGGCGACATCTTGATACATATTTAAGCTGGTTATACTAGTGTCGGTGATGACGCTGAAAAATGTGAGTGGCTTTTAACATTATTTTAATAAAGCAATGTTGACGGTTTTACACTATGCCAGCTCTCTCTCTTCCTTGCTGTATATGACGGTATTTACACTCCCATGATTCTGGAGCTCCCGCTGTTCTGACTCTGATACAGAGAACTCCCAGAGGGAAGGCTTGGTGGCTGGTTTATAACTTTACCAGCAACATGTTCTGGGGAGTTGAAGCTAGCACAATATGGTGGTGGTGTAAAGCAATTTTTCCATCAGTTCGATAATACTTGATTCCTTGAAGGATCTTTGAAATACATGGTGGTGTATATATGTGGAAAGAAGATCTATAATCTAAAACTGTGGACTTTGCACATACAAGAATTTTTAATAACAATATAGCTCTTTGTTGAATATATACCGTAAATAGTAACAGTTTTGTCATTTTTAGTTATATATGATTTTGATTGGTCACTTTATGGGTATGATAGATATACACTGCTCAAAAAAAATGAAAGGAACTCTTTTTAATCAGAGTATAGAATCAAGTTAATGAAACTCCGGGGATATTAATCTGGTCAGTTAAGTAGCAGAGGGGGTTGTTAATCATTTTCAGCTGCTTTGGTATTAATGAAATTAACAACAGGTGCACTAGATGGGCAACAATGAGACGACCCCCAAAACAGGAATGGTTTTACAGGTGGAGGCCATAATCATCACAATTATGACAAATCACGGCTTGAACTATCTTGCTTTGCATGTAATGAGTCTATCTCATATATTAGTTTCACCTTTTAAGTTGCATTACTGAAATAAATGAACTTTTGCACGATATTCTAATTTTTTGAGTTTCACCTGTATCTGCTCCTTTGTGCAAGGAGGAACAGGATGAGCACTGCCAGAGCCCTACAAAATGACCTCCAGCAGGCCACTGGTGTAAATGTCTCTGACCAAACAATCAGAAACAGACTTCATGAGGGTGGCCTGACACCCTCTGGTGGGACCTGTGCTCATTGCTGGACACCATAGATAGGGATGTTGAATTTATATCACCCGAGGCATGTAGTTTCGGGCGCAAGACATGTAGTTTTTTTTTTTTTAAATCCTTCAGCCCTGCTGCATGCAAGCAGCAGGGCTCACCTGTCATGTGGAAGCATTCGGGCGGTAGTGCTGCTGCCGATTGCTTCCACACAGTGCCAGCCTCCACTCCCCCCTCTCCCCGCGTGAACTGCCCACTGTCTCCCGGCCTCTGCCTGCCCATCTGCGGGCCTGGCCTCTGCAGTCGGCTAGAGGGGAGGGAGAAGACGGACACATCCGCTCCCCTCCCTTTCTCGACCTGACCCAGAAGTTATGTTATGATGCCACTTCTGGGTCCCCGTTCAAAGATTTCCCGGCCATCAAGGCCGGGAAAGAATGTAATGCAGTGCAATGTGCACTGCATTACATTCAGGGGAATGCATCCAGGGTGTTTTTGACCCTGGAGGTCTCAAAAAAAGACAACCTGTCACCAAAAATCATCACAGAGGGGGCTTTTTGTCCCTTATGTGATTAACCACCTTCCACCTGCCATATAGTGCAATGACGGGCGCAACGTAGTTCTCTCGTTCTGATAGGACGTCATATGACGTCCTTCCATTCTCACCGCGCATGCGCGGCGATCGCCGGTGCGCTGTGTCCGATCACGGAAAGAGCCGAAGATGTCGGCTCGCTCATGTGATCAGCTGTGTCCAATCACAGCTGACCACATGTAAACACAGAAAAGCTGGTTATCGGCATTTCTCTCCTCTCGAGCTGTCACGCTGACAGCTCGAGAGGTGAGGAGAGCCGGTAATCGGCTTTCCGCGGAGGGGACATGGGCACTGATGATCAGTGTGTCCTGATGATCAGTGTGGCCCCAGAAGTGCCACCTGTCAGTGTCCATCAGTGCCAGCAGTCAGTGCTCATCAGTGCCACATCAATGCCACATATCAGTGCCCATCTGAGCTGCCTTTCAATGTCACCCATCAGTGCTGCCAGTCAGTGCCGCATATCCGTGCTGCATATCAGTGATACCTGTCAATGCCCATCAGTGCAACCTACCAGTGCCTCCTCATCAGTGCCACCTATCAGTGTTCATCACTGCAGCCTATTAGTGTTCATCACTGCAGCCTCATTATCGTACATCAGTGAAGGAGAAAAATCACTTACCGTACTTTTCGCTCCATAAGACGCACTTTTTTTCCCCAAAAAAAGGGGGGGAAAATGTCAGTGCGTCTTATGGAGCGAATATGGAGCAGCCGGTCCGGTATTTCCACTGCCACCGTGTCAGAATACCGGGCCGGCCGCTCAGCTCTACAGTGGGACCTTAGAGATGACTGCTGACCTTTGGGGAGGGGGGGGGGAGCGGGTACCTGAATTTGACAGATACCCGCTCCCACTTCCGTGGAGTTGTTCTTTCATCTTACCCGTTCCTCTATCCAGCGGCGCGGTCTTCCCGGCTTCTGTAGTGTGGGCATGACAGCCGGGTGTCAAGTGCGCATGCGCAGGAAGCGGTGCTTTTTGTGAATGGTAAGGCGGCACCTGGGACACATGACAGATCCCAGAAGCCGCCGGACCAATCACAAAGCGCAAGTGCTTCTCGCTCATGCGCACTGGGCACCCGGCTGTCATGCCGAGCGCCATTACAGAAGCCGGGAAGACAGTGCGCGGCTGGATAGAGGAACAGGTAAGATGAAAGAACAATTCTGCGGAAGTGGGAGCGGGTATCTGTCAAATTCAGGTACCCGCCCCCCCCCCCTCCCCAAAGGTCAGCGGTCATCCCCTGTACTATCCACAGTCTCTGGTCATCCCTGTGCTGTCCGCAGTCTCTGGTCATCTGTACTATCCAGTGTCTCTGGTCATCCCTGTGCTGTCCGCAGTCTCTGGTCATCCCTGTGCTGTCCGCAGTCTCTGGCCCATCTCCTGTACTGTGTCCGCAGTCTCTGGCCCATCTCCTGTACTGTGTCCGCAGTCTCTGGCCCATCTCCTGTACTGTGTCCGCAGTCTCTGGCCCATCTCCTGTACTGTGTCCGCAGTCTCTGGTCCATCTCCTGTACTGTGTCCGCAGTCTCTGGTCCATCTCCTGTACTGTGTCCGCAGTCTCTGGTCCATCTCCTGTACTGTGTCCGCAGTCTCTGGTCCATCTCCTGTACTGTGTGTCCGCAGTCTCTGGTCCATCTCCTGTACTGTGTCCGCAGTCTCTGGTCCATCTCCTGTACTGTGTCCGCAGTCTCTGGTCCATCTCCTGTACTGTGTCCGCAGTCTCTGGTCCATCTCCTGTACTGTGTCCGCAGTCTCTGGTCCATCTCCTGTACTGTGTCCGCAGTCTCTGGTCATCTCCTGTACTGTGTCCGCAGTCTCTGGTCCATCTCCTGTACTGTGTCCGCAGACTCTGGTCCATCTCCTGTACTGTGTCCGCAGTCTCTGGTCCATCTCCTGTACTGTGTCCGCAGTCTCTGGTCCATCTCCTGTACTGTGTCCGCAGTCTCTGGTCATCCCCTGTACTGTGTCCGCAGTCTCTGGTCATCCCCTGTACTGTGTCCGCAGTCTCTGGTCATCCCCTATACTATGTCTGCAGTCCATTAGTTCAGAAAAATTTTTTTTTTCCTGTTTTCTGCCTCTAAAACCTAGGTGTCTTATGGTCAGGTGCGTCTTATGGAGCGAAAAATACGGTATTTACAAAATTGTATAACAAAAACTAAGAAAAAAAACGTTTTTCTTTTTCAAAATTTTCAGTGGTTTTTGGTTTGAGAAAAAATAAAAATCCCAGAGGTGAATAAATACCACCAAAATAAAGCTCTACCTGTCTCAAACAAATGATAAAAATTTCATATGGGTACAGTGTTGCATGACCGTGCAATTGTCATTCAAAGTGTGACAGCGCTGAAAGCTGGAAATTGGCCTTTTTTTTTTTTAAAATGGAAGTTACACCCAAGCATATACCACCCCCATATTTTTCAAGACCCCCCACATATGTATGCACACACAAACGTGCATAAAGTGCAGATAGTATATGGTGAACTATTACACGGTGTGGTATTAGTGGACTTTTTAATCCTGTTTTTTATTCTGTTGTAGCACTGGGACTTTGCTTTCAATTTCTCCATATTTTACTCATTTGTGTATATGAGATACGTTTATGTTTCACATCATCATATAATTATTTATTGAAGGATATTATCGTAGAATGCTAGGAGGTTATTTATACATTTGTAATAGAAGACACATACATGGTTGTTTAGAAAAACACTTTATTATTCTGTCTTTGCACCAGGGTGGATAAAAATCAATGATTAAAAAAAAAAAAAAAATCGGATTTTTTTGAATAGAAATGCTTTTTGAGGAAAATATATTACCATCCAAAGGTTATTCCATCATGAAATAAAGATTAGTTTTTTAATTATGTAGAATAAGGCTGTATATGTTTAATTTTTTTGGTAAATAAATTCCATGAATCCATTCACAATGTCATGCTCTTCCAGAGGTTTTTGTAAGATTATTGGGCAGTTTCTCTGCCTACAAGATATTATCACAGATGCTCGGTTTACTTTTGCAGTTCTCAAAACTGAATTTGACTCAGCGGAGATCACATGCCTCTTCACAGCAAAAATGTTATAACATGAACAGAGTGTAGAAGTTAGGATGAAGGTCTTTTTCTTAAAACCTATGAATACAGAATCAACCCCTTCACTGCTAAGTTTCAAGAAGTTCAGTGAATAGAATAGAATCAATATTTTTCTGATTGTTTGGAGTGGAATAGATCTGCACAAGAAGAAAGTGACACTAAGTGTGAGGAGGAAGGGGCTGACAGTCTACGTTTCTTAAAATATATATATTTTGTTTAGCCAAATTAGTTACCAAACATGGATGTTTAAGCAAATCACATATGCTGGAATGTTATTGTTTCAGTTGAATAAATCTATTTAAATTGTTATTATTAAGGTAATGATTATTTTTCTCATTCCTAAGTACAACAGAAAAGTTGTCCAAATATGAATGATTAACCTATTAAACTGGGGATAAAAAAAACTAATATGAAAAGTTGTTATTCTAAAAATCTTCATCTACTTGTATATTAAAGTTATACCAACAAGAATTAGTCTTTATGTAGAAAACTAGGATTTACATCAAGCCTTACTGACTAGTGATTTAAATCAAAATCCACCCTGCTTTGCACGTTATGCATTTAATGAATTTGTAGCACTGAATTGTGTTACTAATAGCTCACTATGGTATGATTTATTGCATTGAAAGTATGCACCACACTGATTTATGGTTTAGATCACCTTCAGTGACAAGTTTCCTTTGAAACATAATAAAAATATTCTTATTCAAGTTCCCAGCTGTGGAATTTGTCCAGCCCAGAGAGAATTGTCAGCCGTGCCTAAAACATTAAGCCCTGGTCACATCGGGTGTGATCTGGCATGCCAGGCGACTTGCAAATCGTAGACCAAGTCGCACCCTAACGTCTGCTATTAGAGCGGTCATTTCTAAATTAATGCTTGCATGACTTTTCGTGCGATTTGCATAGACATCTGTGTCAGATATCTTGCAAATTGCAAGGAAAATCAGCAGGTCACCCGATTTTGAAATTGTGCGACTTGACTGTAAGTTGCACGATTAAAAAAAAAAAAAAAAAAAAAAAAAAAAAAAAAAAAAAATCGGCTTTGATGTGACCGACCGGGGGTTCCAGGCAAGAACACTGCTGAGCTGCAGGAAACACACAGGCATTAGTGATCACCGTGCCGTGTATTTCTGATGACCGAAAGCTAAAAAACCAGAATGACATAGCAATGGAAAACAGTTGGACGGCACCCTTTGCCCAATGATTTTGCATCTTGTAAATGTCAGTTAAGATGTGACTGCATCACACTGGAATTCAAATGCAGAACAAGTAGTCGCTGCCCCACCCTCAGACTGCTTACATTGAGAGGATGAGATCACTGGGCCGTTTGGAAAGAAAAGTGCTATTCCACATCAACAGAGGACCCATTCACACCTGAGAGGCTTGTAGCCTAAAAACCGCTCAACAAGCAAAAACCCATTGCTTTCTATAGCCCTTGTTCAACGAAGCGTCCTGTCACTTGTAGCTGAACGCCTGTCAATCCAGAAAGTACATGAGCTGATTTTCAGGCACAATTGAGCATTTCTGGTCCCATCAATTTTCAACGGGAATGCCTTAAAACTAGGGAGGCACTGAAATTTCGATGGCCAAAACATTTTGGCCGAATTGAGAAAAAAAAAAAAGCAACAATACCGATGCCGAAAAAACCCCGCCCCTCGCTGCCGCTGCTTGGTAGTTCTCAGCCTTACCTGAGAGACCATCGATCCTGGTGCTGGGCATAGAGATGAGTGAAGGAAAGATGGCCGCCACTCATCTCTATGCCCTTAAAGGACCGGAACAATGTCACTTCCCATTCCAGCCATTTTTTTAATTTTTTTTTATTTAAAGCACTAGGTCAATGCTTTTTTTTTGCTCCAATGCTTTACATTGCAGAGGAGAGATGTGGGGTCTTATTGACCCCATATCTCTCCATAAAGAGGACATGTCACTAATTATTTCTAGCACAAGGGATGCATGTATTTCTTGTGATAAGAATAAAAGGGATTTATTTATTTTTCTTAAAAAGGGACAGTGCAAAAAATAAAATAAAATCATAAATTTTTTTAAAAAAGTTTAAAGTGCCCCCGTGCTCGCACGTAGTAATGAACGTATACGTAGGCCATGCCCACATATGTAAACACACAGGTATTGCCCACGAACGTCAGAGCAAGAGCAATGATTCTAGCACTAGGCCTCCTCTAATGCTACACTGCTAACCTGTAGACATTTTTAAAGCATCACCCATGGAGATTTTTAAGTACCACAGTTTCATGCCATTCCACGAGTGTCAACAACTTTAAAGCGGAGCTCCACCCAAAAGGGGAAGGTCCGCCTTAAGGACTATAAATGGGGTATGTAGCGCTAGAGAACAGATATTAGGCACAGAAGTTGTTACGATATGAAGCAACAGTGCAGCAGTTCTTATAATAGTTCATATAATCCGGCCAGAAAAAGCATGGAAAAAGGTCCAATGATGTTCCAAATCGCATTCAGTAGAATAGGCAAAAATAATGAGGTTGTGCGCTTACCACAAGTACACACAATATGAGCATTGTATGCAATTTCAACAGCAACCGGGCATCATGGTCTGGTCAGCAGCCTGGGCGACATCTGGTCATATCCGGACATATGGATAACAGGTACACCGCTGTCCAGGTCCCCTCTGGCTTCCAAATCCCAAACGCCACCTTGCATAAGCTCATTAAAAAACGAGCCGGGAGGCAAGAAAGTGCTAATAGTGAAGTACGTTTATTAAAAACATAAAACGTGAGCAAAGCAACCAGAACTCACATCAACAAAATATACATCCAGGCCCAAATTGATGGGCTCCCTGGTGGTTAGTGGATCACTCAGCATGCACTGCATACAAATAAAAGTCCAATAGATAACCCTGGTGGCTAGTGGTATCATTGGTATATAGCCATAGAGTAAGGTAAGTAATATGCAGATATACTCATCCAGGTCTGGTGGGTTTGTTCCCTGGTGGCTAGTGGTTCATTAATAGTAGAGGCGTCAATAGGGTGGATCCCCTAACATGTTTCGAGCGAAAGCTCGTTCTCCCCTTTGAGAACGAGCTTTCGCTCGAAACATGTTAGGGGATCCACCCTATTGACGCCTCTACTATTAATGAACCACTAGCCACCAGGGAACAAACCCACCAGACCTGGATGAGTATATCTGCATATTACTTACCTTACTCTATGGCTATATACCAATGATACCACTAGCCACCAGGGTTATCTATTGGACTTTTATTTGTATGCAGTGCATGCTGAGTGATCCACTAACCACCAGGGAGCCCATCAATTTGGGCCTGGATGTATATTTTGTTGATGTGAGTTCTGGTTGCTTTGCTCACGTTTTATGTTTTTAATAAACGTACTTCACTATTAGCACTTTCTTGCCTCCCGCTCGTTTTTTAATGAGCTTATGCAAGGTGGCGTTTGGGATTTGGAAGCCAGAGGGGACCTGGACAGCGGTGTACCTGTTATCCATATGTCCGGATATGACCAGATGTCGCCCAGGCTGCTGACCAGACCATGATGCCCGGTTGCTGTTGAAATTGCATACAATGCTCATATTGTGTGTACTTGTGGTAAGCGCACAACCTCATTATTTTTGCCTATTCTACTGAATGCGATTTGGAACATCATTGGACCTTTTCCATGCTTTTTCTGGCCGGATTATATGAACTATTATAAGAACTGCTGCACTGTTGCTTCATATCGTAACAACTTCTGTGCCTAATATCTGTTCTCTAGCGCTACATACCCCATTTATAGTTTACATTCCAAGGTATTGAGGATTACCCTGTATGTTAGCTGCTTACCTGATCTGTCTGCGCTCACTTACCCACCTTTTACATCCGCCTTAAGGACTGCTTCCCATTAAGGATTGGTACCTTTGGGGAACAAGGGGGGGGGGGGGGGGGGGAGGCGGCGGGTAATCGAATCTGACTGGTACCCGCTCCCACTTCTGGTCCGATCGCCTAGGCGATTGGAAGCGGAAGGTGTCCTTCCTCCCTCCCTGTAGTCTTTTAGGACATTTGACAGGTCCCAGAAGACTTCAGGACCATTCGTGAAGCGCAG